ATAATTTATATTTATTTCCTAATTTTTTTTTTATGATGGTTACAAGATCAGTCAAATCTACTGAACCCATACAGAGATTCATTACTGAAAATAACAGGTAAAATATAAAGTTTTTTTCTTAAGAAATGTTTGATAACTATCTGGACATTATAAAGATTTTGCATGTGAAATCTGAAAACTTTCTGATCCATAAATGTATTTTGATCTTAAAATGAAAATTACTTTGCATGTTGGATATGCAACATTGTGAAAAGAAAAAAGGCAAGAGAAAAACATTGCTTAACAAGCCTCAAGACTTGATAAAAAAAACAAAAAAAAACTGATATTTTGCATATGAAAGCATTGTAATATTTACTGCCAAATTTTGTTAATCTTTGCTAACTAATTTGAAAGTTATAGCATTAAATTAAAACCAAGCCCATGCTGAAAGAGTTAATGAAACTCATATTGTGTATAATGCAATAGTTTTGAGTTTTTTTTTACCACTGCCATCTCTACATTGAATCACCATTTCTAAATTCTCACTTCAGATAAATTAACAAGTTACACCATAAAAAATGCAAGTATTACTCCAAGATATAAATCAGATCACTCGGTGCTTGACCTAGAGATAAAACTTAATGTAACTACACGAGGAAAACATTTTTTGATATGTAATAATTCTCTTCTGAAAGACATTGTATACTGGCATAGCGAAGGATTTTAATTACATAGCAAATTAGTAAGTACAGTAAGTAAGAAAGAGAAAAGCAAAATATCTTTTGATATAACTTTGATAAATGCATCTTGATGCTAATGATATGTATTTTATTAAAAATTACATGTAAATACTTTGGGGAATGACAAACTTGTATTCATCCTGTAAAAAAAAAATCTTTAAATGTTTAGAAGATGAAATTAAGACTTTTCAAAATAAGCTAAGTAATAGTGGATATGACTAACTCGTTAGTTTGAAGAGAAGTAACCTATATTTCAATCATTTTATAAAAATATTATAAAACAGAAGGAAGTGGTTTCATCACAGCTAGATGGAAAAAATGTAAGTAGAAGTTTAAGAAATATTTAAATATATTAGAAAAACAAAAGAAAATCGATGGGATCCATAAACTAGTCACTAGCAAAAGAGAATACACAATAGGTAACAATGATGAAATATTGACAAAATCTAATAATAATTAGAACTTCTATGCGTTAAGGGAAGGAAATTTAAATGGTAAATGAAAATTACAGAATGAAAGATAGGGGCTCTCTCATTAAGTATAATGAAAGGTTTTTTTTGGAATGTTTTAACAAATAGTTGAATACATTATATCAAAACAATTTGAAATGTGCAAAACAGGAAGTCACATGGCAAGCACAACCAGTACAGTTGCAGTGGAACTGAATATATCAGAACTCCATTTTTAATGTGATGTTACTGAAAACTAATCACTTGTGGGTATATATATATACGGACTTAGTTACTTTGACCATCCTTGCAACCACAACGTATCCATAGAGAGTATCTTTATGAAATTTGACAAGCTTTTAGTAAACATAACAAGTCTTTTATACACAAACACACACAAAAAGGATTTTTGAATTAAATAATTTTATTAAAGACTTTTTTGTGAACATATGGAATCAAAGTGTAACTTAGACTGGTCTGACAGCAAGATGAACATGTGGCTCAAGCTAAGGTACTGAATGACATAATGCACAAGCTACTCACAAATATACTTTGTGGAGAAATGTTAATAGTTTAGTATTATTATTATTATCTTACCTAATAAATTTCTAATTTTAACATTTTAATTATTTTTATAACAATAAATAAAAAAACATATAAGAGACAAGAAATTTATTACTTATGGTTGGCCTTTTTTTGTTGTTATTAGGCCTCCAACAAAACTTAATCTTAATTCTTTGTAATCATATTACTAATAAATAAAACAATTTATTTAAAATTTTTACTAAGTACATAAAATAACTCATGGAAAATAAATGATGTTCATATAACTATTATAATTTCTCTGGTTTTTTAACTAAGGCAGGCATAATTGTCAGAAAATAATTCCTTTAGCTGTTCAATCTGAACTCCAAGATATCTACTTTGAATCTATAGGTGAAATAATCAAAAATTTCTACTGTGAACAAGGTAGCATTATACGTCATTTGTATTTCTACTAGTTATAAATAATGCAACAACAAATGTCAGAGAAAATTACTGACAATTTGTTAAAAAGAAAAGATAATAGGCAGGCTTAGCAAGTGGGTTTGAATTTCTGGTTTATATCTTTGTAAGCAAAGAAGATTAAATATTACAAAAAATAGATTATACATAAGAAATATCTACACTATAATGAGTAATTTGCATTAAAGTTGGGACATCTTAGAGGGGTGGCAAAAAACTGAAAATGAACAAGTCACAACGAACTAATATCACATTATACAGACAAGCAGACTGAATTCATACATGTCCTTTTGAAATTAAAGAAATAAATTCTATATAAAATTGATTTAAGTATACTTTTATGCTAAATTTATTCATTTATATTTATAATAGTTTAAAATTTGAATGTAACTACATAAAAAGTCTTGACATGCACTTTTACCTACTCATTTCGAGACTTCATTAATTACGTATTAATCGCTTATTCACATGAGATTTCAATAGTTGAAATAACTGAAACTAGTTATAACTATAAATACTAATTTTGATCAGTTGATTATTTTACAAGTTAAAATTAATTAAGCTGAACAATCTTGAATCAATCAAAAACAAGGAAAAATCATAATTGCAATATTTCAATTAATTTTTGCTTTCTCTCATTCAATCATCTTAAAATCTAAGTTACTAGTCTTTCACTAACTCCCATTGATGTAATTTTCTTGGTTAATCTTTCTTGTGGCACCATAACAAAAATGTTTTGATAATCTAAGTATACCAAGTCTACATGC